AGCATTGAAATGCTATTGAAAGGGGTCATGAGACACCTTAAGAACAGTAGACCTTGATATAAGTTATCAACGGTTTCTGGCTGTATTGGTAGGGTATATTGATGCGGACGAGAATACCCTATAGAATATTCCAAGGCATCCAGTGGACATGTTTTAAACATCACTGGAAGTGTTGTGTCTTTGGAATTCTAAGAAGTAAACGATCCTGGCTCAATCAACTAAGAAATCAGAAATGATAGAGCTAGCTATGTCTAGTAAAGAGAAAAGTTGATTGAGAGGGTCAATACTAGAGATTCCCTTATGGGAAAGACCGATCCCTCCGGTAGTTGATACATTGTGATAGCACCGCAGCTATTATTAGAGAAGGGAACCGGTTCTAGAATGAAAAGAGACGACAAATTTGTCGTAAACACAGTACTGTAAAAGATCTCCTAACGATAGGAGCAATGAGGGTGGATCATGTAAGATCCTAACAGAATCTAGCTGATCCTTTGACGAAAGAATCACCTAGAGAGAAAAGTCCAAAATACCATGAAAGGTATGAGACTTATGCCTACCGAACCATGGATTACAAGTGATGGTAACCCGACCCGATAGATTGGAGATCCCAAGAAACGGGTTCAATTGGTAATAACAATTCATGAGTAATATTGAGAAAAGTTCATGCATAGTGAAGCATGAATCCCAAAGCCTTGGAGGTTGAGTTAAACTCTTAATGAGATCTATACTCTTTGTGGAGTGAAGTACTTTACTTTGGGGGTACTTCTGATAGACTCGCCTATGTGAATGTGGGAGTGGGGTCGCTCCCTATGGAACTTTGGAGGCACAAAGTTGCTAGAGTGTTCACTAAACCAGGATAACGTGCATGGCCATAAACGCACGGCCTATGAGAGAATATCACTCAATGAAAAGATCCGGTGTGCTACATTGTTTGAGATAGGGTTCAAGACTACGAGTCACCCTTATGAAATCGGAAGTGTAACCACTACGCTAAGGTTCAAATCTTCGCGATACCTTAGCTTATGCCCGATCTTATGGAACTGTTGATGCTTAGAGATAGTTTCAAACTATTCAAGTGGGGGATTGTTGGGATGAATAGCTTTGAAAAGCTATAATGAAATTCCTAATTAATTATCCAGTATTTTTTTCATAATACGAAATTAAGATGGATAATTAATAAAAGGAATGTTATGGAGATAATTAGGAATAATTATCTTAATAGATTATATTTTAGTTATGGGAGTAATTATCTCCCTAATTAAAATGTGACTTATTCCCAAAGAAAGAGGGAATATTCTGGGTTTTCTGCTCCTATAAATAGGAGACGCTCCAGACCCTCTAAACACACCTCAGCAGAGCAGAAACATGAGAGAGAGAGTGAGTTCATAGAGCTCCGGTTTTCACACAAAACCGATGAGCAACAAAATTAGAGTGGTTGTTTTATCCTAGAGGCGACCGGCTGATAGTCTGCTGTGCGAATTATGAGGCAGTGCCGCAAACGTCTTAAAGAGAGTGACCTAGTCCGCGACTCAGCCAAATCGGTAACCTAATTTTTCCTGTTCGATTTCTAACAGTTTGTACCCATACCCATTTACTATTGGATTGAGTTGGATTTTTAACAAATTGATTTGGGTTTGTACCCATGCCCTAATACAAATTACAGTTTGGTACCTAAACTTAATAGATATGCATATTTAGTACCTAAATTTATTTTTTTGCATATAAGTCCTCAAAATATCGATGAAAATTTACACTTTAGTACCTAAATTTTGTTGGTCTTACATTTTGATACCTAAACATTTCAAGTTTTACAAATATGTCCAATTTTTGTATGTGTAGTTAAAACACCCTCAAGTAATTTGATATTCATATCCAACTCATACCCATTTAGATTCTGAAAGCAATATCCAAATACGAACCATACCTAACCCAAACCCACACCCATACCCTAATGAATGGGTTTGGGCAAAATTACCGATTGGTGGTTCTTGTTCTTCATCTTCTCCACTCCATGCATGAACCTTGCTTAAATGTTTTTATAATTGATCACATCACAGCTTTCATGTTTCACTTTCCCTTCCTTTCTACTTCCCCTCATTTTCTTTCCAAGTTAAAATTGATGGGAACAAGTCAAATAAGCAGTCTTCTTTATGGAGTCACGCATGCCATTGATTAAACTGTTCTTTTATGACAGAAATCACTGTTCTAAAAGAAACCCCACGGAAGGTATCTTAGCTTAGCTAGCTCGTACTACAAATAACTATAAGCCAAGGCCTAGCAACTAGCCAGGCAGAAGGCTCATGTCCAAGTCCATGGTCATCCATCCCTGGCCGGGTTGGGTTATTAACTTATTATGGCGATGGAAATAAGCACACTCTGCATCCTTGGTCCCAGTCAAGGTTGTCAAACCGGTTTATGCCAGTGTGCCTGTTTAGCAAGTGGAATGGTTCAATTGGTGGCACATACCGGTTTGTGCCGATTCATGCCGGTCAATATTACAAATAAAATTATAAATACTCATATTTAAACATGACATTTAACGTCAATACCTAAACATTTATATTTGAATCCAACAAATAACATCAATATTTGACTTTTATACTCATAAAATAAATAATAAAATAATTTTTATCAATTAAATTCTCTAAAATAAGATCATTTTACTTAAAGATTCGTATATCGATCATCACGTCATACCGGTGGTGTCACGCCGGTTTTATGACCGGTACCGGTTGAACCCAGTACAACCGGTGGCACGCCGACCGACATGACAACCATGGTCCCAGCTCACAAGATTTCAATTGTTATTAGGCCTATTTCGTACAAATTATGATCAAGTCGAACAATGATGGAAACAATGTAGTGAGTAGATTAATAATATCGATAAGTTCTTGGTTGTTTGATTGTATGCAAGGTATAAGTATGAGTAAACAGATAATATGATGATCTCTTATTATAACTTGAGGTCTTAAAGTGAAACTCGATCATATGACCATGGTATTATAAGGGTTATGCATTTAAATCCGAGTAACCCTTAGTATCAGCGATAAATTAGTGTATAATAAGCAATAGAAGTACACGATCTTCATTACACTTCAAGCACAATACTATTGGGTCGTTTGCTTGTTGGATTTGAAAAATGAGGGTTTGGTTAATAAAAACCTTGGAATTTATGTTGGATTTATTGGATTATAGATTTTAAGAGTCTAATGTTTGCATGATAGATTTGATGATGGATTTGTTAATTAAATAACTAACCATCAAGGATTTGTAAATCCCAAATCAACATGTGGGATTTACAAGTCCGTGGGGTCCACGGATTTGGTTCCAAAATAAAGACCAAATCCGTAGACCCCACGAATTTAGCACCCTTCAACAAACAATGGACTTTTGTTAAATCCATCAAGCTTGGGATTTGGGTACCAAATCCATGACCCAAATCCAACAAGCAAACGACCCCTAAAGATAAGTTGGTGCACATGAAATAAGAGACAAGAGATCTTCACATCCTATAAATTTTCGTTTGAACAAACATAATAAACACTACAAGAACTATAATGTCGATTATATTCCCATGTCTTTCTGACTCTGCTGTTGCCAATAAATACATACTTGTGGTTTTTTTTTTATTTTTGCCATAGAAATACATACTTGTGGTTGATATTTTAGGTTTGTCCAATTCGATATAACCCTTTTTTTTTTTTTTTATAACAAGTGACTTCATGTTGGTGACATGGGGTCCATGTTACATAGTGCTCTTTGAAATCTCCCTTTCCTTCCAGCTCTCTCTCTACCCTTCCTTTGGCCCTTTTGCCGTTTTCCAAACGGCAGCAAAAAGTCCATGTTGCCATGTTCCACGGCCCACAAAACGACAACCACTAATTATTTTAAATGTAATTTTGATGACCACCTTCTCATTTTTCTTCACTTTTTTCAATTTTTATAAATGATGATAGAATTAGGGATGACAATGGGTCGGGTTGAGTCGGGTTTTGCCAAATCCAACCCCAAATTCATGGGTTTATCCGTGAAAAAAATCTGGGGTAAAACCCACTGGGTTTGAAAAACTCAAACCCAACCCAACCCAACCCAACCCGCTGGGTATCCGCGGGTTCATGGGTACCCACGGGTTTTTGTCGTAAAAAGTTTACAATAACAAGTTCCTATCAAAATTAAAGTCAAATATCAATCTCTCAATACAAATTATCCATATAAAACATCATTATAGAAAATTCAAGCAAATCACAAATTAACTATACAAATTGTTCAACACCAATCTAGAAAACTCAAGAAAATTGAAGCCAATCACAAATTATCCATGAATAACATGATTAATTGAAAGTTTCTTCACTCTCCACTCGATAACATCAACTTCATTCTACACAATTAGAAAGAAAAAAATTAGACATGTGTCCACAAACATAAATAAGATTAGTTGTTTAGAATATTAAATATACAGAGAAAATTAATTATATGAGTGTGGGTAGGTACCCATGGATCGGGTTTACCTAAACCCAAACCCAACCCAAAACCCATCAATACGAATTTTACCCGCGTTGACCTAGTTGGGTTGGGTGGGTCCGTGGGTTCGAATTTTGTTGTAATCCCTATATAGAATTATTTTCTATCATAAACAAGTTGGTTCTAATATCTCGAGTTGTTGGAAGAAAATTATGTTAGATCTGGTGGTATTAGGTAGCACGCGAACCCAAGCACAGCCTAATGTATAAACCAGAGCCCATTAGGCGGGACCTGGCAGCTTGTCCATGGGCTAGTTCCGAGTCTTTGTACACTTCAATTTGGGTTTGTACTTGTCCATGACCCCATTTGGGCCCTTTTTGCAGTGCAGAGCGAAGAGATGGAAGGAAGAAGAAGAAACGAAGGGAAAAGATTTCCGACCCGTTATTTGTTGAACTTGTGGTCTAGGAGAAGGAATTTTTGAGTGCAAGAAGTGGGGTTTAATTTACTTAATTAAGCTGGAGCTATTAAAATGGTTGTCTGATCCACAAATTCGTTTCTTATCGTTATAATAGGATGACTTGTTTGGTGTTTGTCATTATACTTATTTGAGCCGTTGGATTTTGTTTTCGGATTATGTAACAATATGTTTTTATAATTGATCAATCCTATTCGTATATATAAATCTTGATTTCTTGTTTATATTTTGAGTGATCTAAGGAAAAGAAAAGGGAGGAAAAGGGCGGGCACGTAATATGAATTCACAAGTACATCAACTAGCTAGTGTGATAAAAAAAAATACCAAAAAACTCGATTGAGAAAAAAATATATAATATCGGTTCGGTGGTAACAAAATCATAATTAAAGAGGCTACATTAACATTACAAAGAAAGAAATTAGATGTGGATCCAGGCCAGGGTGTAGCGATGATCACTTCCGGAAGCAATTCCTAGGGCTAACGACACCGCTGACGCCGCCGCCGGCATGGGTGCAGACCGACGACGCAATGGCTTTGTGGTACGTGAGCTTGACGTTGTGGAGCTGGAGGCCCGTGCACGGCCGGCTAGCGCTGCACACGAACTTCACCGCGATCGGGGACGCCGAGGTGCCGTGGATGTTCCTGTACGTTACTCCCGTGATCTTCACGCCGGAACCCTGCAGGAGATATTACGTTAGTTAGTTAGTTGTGAGAATTCAAATACAAGAGAGAGATCGAGAGAGAATTTGTTCTTGTTCGCGAAGAAAATAAATAAATAAATAAATAATTGATTGATTGATTACCATTCCAGGGCAGTTCTTGTTGTAGGGGCAGTAGTTCTGGTCGATGATGATGGGGTTGTAGGAATTCTCCATGGCGATGTTCTGGAAGACCACGTTCCTGACGAAGCTGGTGGTCTTCCGGCCCCACGACTTGATCCGGAGCCCGTTCTGGGTCCGGGTCATGACCGAGTCCGTCACGAACACGTTCTCCACGCCGGCCTCGTGGGTGTGAAGCCCAAGGCTCCCGATGCTGATCCCGTGGCCCGGCCCGCAATGGACCCCGCGGATGTGCACGTTCTTGGTGCCCGGCCCGATCGCGATGCAGTCGTCGCCGGTCTTGATCACAGCCCCGGCGATGGTGATCCCTTCCGACGACATGATGTGGATCCCGTCGGTGTTCAGGCTCCGGGACGGGGCCTCGATGTAGAGCTTCTTCAGCAGGACCTGGTGGCAGTGGTCTATTGCCAGGTGGAACATCTGCGGGTTCAGCGACTTCAGCCCCTTTACGACCACGTTTCGGGACTGTATGATGGTTATGGACTGCGCGCAAAAACGAGGACAGGACAGGACACCATTTTTAATTAATTTTATACGTCGTCCATGCATGTCGATCGATCGAATTTAATTAGCTGCTAGCTAGATTTGTACGAAGATTAAAAAAAAATTGTGACAACATCCATCGTACGTACGTACCTTAGTCCCTTGACTGCACTGGCTTTGGCTCCTCTGGCAAGCCCAATAATCCGACCCTTGAGCGTCGTAAGTCCCACCCAGGATGGTGAGCTTTTCCAGCTTGTAGAACAGGATCCAGAACCCGGACTTGCCGAACTCCCAGTAATGCTTTGGGCCGACCACCTTCCCCTCCACGTGGAACAACATCTTGCTCTGGCACGGCCCGTAGAACACGATGGGCTTCAGCATGTAGGTGCCACGGGGCACGTAGACGGAGGCCGGCCTCCACGACTTGCAAGCCTCCTCCCACGCTTGGGAGAAGGCGGGCGTGGAGTCCGACACCCCGTCGGCCTTGGCGCCGTAGTGCAGGACGTTGTGGGTCACGTACTGGACGCGCCCGCCCTTCTTCTTGTGGTGTGGCAGTGGCACCGGCACCCACCTGTGGTTCGAGTAGATCATTGAATCGTTTAGGACCGACGAGGCGGCGGCTGAGAGGAAGAAGAGAAGGAGAATTAGCGAGTAGGCTATTGGCGAGTTGCTTTTCTCCATCTCGATCGTGGCCTCTCTGTCTCTCTTCCTCCGAGAGAGAGAGAGAGACTTCTTTGTTTGTTTTGGGATGGTGATCGATGAGATGGTTTCGACTTCGAGGTAACAACAAACCAATTGTTGTGTTTATAATATATGCAATGGATGTGCTTAGATTGTGTCCAAATATCCCATAACCAGTCGTCTCGTGGCATGGCATCACATAATTAATTGCAAGTTTTGGATGTGAAATTTTGTCTCTTTTCATCTACATTATTCAAAAAGTTCCAAATATATATTTAATTTGTAAAGACCTGTTACGTTATATACCATCATCTATCTAAACCATCATCTAATAAATTATTCTTTACTAATACTGCATGTTATTATATATGCTTCACTTTAGACATCGGCATGATCCACACCGACGACCTGGTGTGCCTATATCAGGTGCTTGCTGCCGCAAAACAAAAGGGTTGAGAATAAGTTAGGGAATATGGCGAGTTAAAAATATAGACTGTAATTATATATTAGGAGGCAAGTTTACTCACAACTGGAAATGCTATGCTTTGTAATTTTATGAGAGCCCAAATTCCAACCTCGATTGCATGCGTATTTATGCGCTACGTGTCCTTTTCTTGGCAACGTGATCGACTGCAATAAAAAACATGGACCCCACAATTTAATTAATTAATCTTGTATTTTTCATGCTAATGGAGACATGTCTGGCTTGCCCTTTTATAATCTCTGTCCAATGATTCACTAGTGTTATCCCTAGTATATGTCTTAGTAATTAGTATACACTTCTCCTCCATTGAGTTGTTGCCTTGCTGTACTAGGTTACAAGATTATGGAATATTTTGGGTTGTTTTTACTAGGGGAAGAATGGACATTTTATTTGGATTTTGAAGGCTATAGATTACGGATTCGGTCTGTTATTCTTTAAAGACGATTACGTCCATTAAACATCGATTTGGACGGATTTATTTCGGGTCAATTTTTTGCAGATTCTAAAGGGGTATCATCACAAATTTACGAAGATTTTCCCGAAATGCAATTTTCTTTCGATTCTGGAGGCTACAGATCACAAATTCAGGCCGAGGCTATTCTCCACCGATAATGAAGTCTATTAATCCTATTCTCCATGGACGATAAATCCATTAAGCACCGATTTGGCCAATTTATTTTTAGATGACATTTTTCGTTATTTTTTGTGCAATGAAAGGCCATTTTCTTTTGATTTTGAAGGCTACAAATCACAGCTTCGCCCTGAGGCTATTCTTCAACAACTATTACGTCCATTAAGCACCGATTTGGGCGAATTTATTCTGGGCCAATTTTTGACAGATTCCAAATGGTTACCATCACAGATTTTACACAATTTTCATGAAATGCCCATTTCTTTCGATTATGGAGGCTACAAATCACAGATTCAGGCTGAGACTATTCTCCACCGATAGTGAAGTCTATTGATCCTATTATCCACAGATGATAAGTCCATTAAGCACCGATTGTGGCCAATTTATGTTTGGATGTCATTTTCGTAATTTGTAGGCTACAGATAATGGATTCGCCCTGAGTTTATTCTTCAACGTTGATTACGTCCATTAAGCATCAATTTCGTCGGTTTTATTACGGGTCAATTTTTGGTAGATTCCAAAGGGGTACCATCACAAATTTTGGGTGATTTTCCCGAAATGCCATTTTCTTTTGATTTTGGAGGCAACAGATCACGAATTCAGGCTGAGGCTATTCTCCACCGATAATGAAGCCTATTGATCATATTCTCCACGGATGATAAATCCATAAGCACCAATTTGGGCCAATTTATTTTCGAATGACATTTTCGTTATTTTTTTGGGCGACGAAATGCCATTTTCTTTGAATTTTGAAGGCCACAGATCACGAATTCGGCCTAAGGCTATTCTTCAATGCAATTAAGTCCATTAAGCACCGATTTGGACGGATTAATTCCATGTCAATTTCTGGCAGATTCCAAAGGGGTACCATCACAGATTTTGAGCGGTTTTCCCGAAATGTCATTTTCTTTCGATTCTTGAGGCAATAGATCACGGATTCAGGTCGAGGCTATTCTTCACCGATAATGAAGTCTATTGATCCTATTCTCCACGGATGATGAGTCCATTAAGCACCGATTTGGGCCAACTTATTTTTGGATGTCATTTTCGTAATTTTTTGGTCGACGAAAGGCCATTTTCTTTGGATTTTGAAAACTACAGATCAAGGATTCTCCCTGGGGCTATTCTTCAACGACAATTACGCTCATTAAACACCAATTTGGGTGGATTTATTCCGGGTAATTTTTGGCAAATTCCAAAGGGGTACCATCACTGATTTTGGGCAATTTTCCAGAAATGCTATTTTCTTTCGATTCTGGAGGCTACAACTCAGGGATTTAGGCCGAGGCGATTCTCCAACGATAATGAAGTCTAGTGGTCATATTCTATGATATGTCCATTAAGCACCGATTTAGACTAATTTATTTTAGTATGACATTTTCGTAATTTTTTGGGCAACGAAAGACCATTTTTGTTTGGATTTTGAAGGCTACAAATCACGTATTCGGCATGAGGCTATTCTTCAATGACGATTACGTCCATTAAACACATATTTGGGTGGATTTATTCTGGGTCAATTTTTGGCAGATTCCAGAGGTGTACCATCAGAGATTTTGGGTAATTTCCCTCAAATGTCATTTTCTTTCGATTTTGGAGGCTACAGATCACAGATTCAGGACGAGATTATTCTCCACCGATAGTGAAGTCTATTGATCCTATTCTTCATGGATGCTAAGTCCATTAAGCACCGATTTGGGCCAATTTATTTTCGGATGCCATTTTCGTAATTTTTGGGAGACGAAAGACCATTTTCTTTGGATTTTGAAGGCTACAGATCGTGGATTCGCCCTGAGGTTATTCTTCAATGAAGATTACGTCCCTTAAGCACAGATTTGGGCGAATTTATTCCAGGTCAATTTTTGACAGATTCCAAAGGGGGTACCATCACAGATTTTGGGCGATTTTCCCGAAATGTCATTTTTTCGATTCTAGAGGCTATAGTTCAAGGATTCAGGACGAGGCTGTTCTCCACCGATAATGAAGTCTATTGATCCTATTCTCCACGAATCATAAGTCCATTAAGCACCGATTTGGGCAAATTTATTTTAAGTTGGCATTTTCGTAATTTTTGGCCAACGAAGGCTATTTTCTTGGGATTTTGAAGGCTAAGGGTCACAGATTCGTACTGAGGTTATTCTTCAACGACGATTACCTCCATTAAGCACCGATTTGGGCGGATTTATTCCTGGTCAATTTTTGGCAGATTCCAAAGGGGTACTATCACAAATTTTGGGCAATTTTCCGGAAATGCCATTTTTTCAAAATTGGAGGCTACAAATTACAGATTCAGGCCGAGGCTATTCTCCACCGATAATGAAGTCTATTGATCATATTCTCCACGGATAATAAGTCCATTGAGCACTGATTTGGGCCAATTTATTTTTGGATGACATTTTCGTAATTTTTTGGGCGACGAAAGGCCATTTTCTTTGAATTTTGAAGGCTACAGATCACGAATTTGCCCTGAGGCTAATCTTCAACGACGATTACGTCCATTAAGCACCGATTTAAACGGATTTATTATGGGTCTATTTTTGGCAGATTCCAAAGGGGTACCATCGCAGATTTTGGGCGATTTTCTCGAAATGTCATTTTCTTTCAATTCTGGAGGCTACAGATCACAGATTCAGGTTTAGACTATTCTCCATCGACAATAAAGTCCATTGATCCTATTCTCCACGAATGATAAGTCTATTATGCATCGATTTGAGCCAATTTATTTTTTGATGGTATTTTCATAATTTTTTGGGCGACAAAGTCCATTTGCTTTGGATTTTGAAGGCTGCATATCACGAATTTGGCCTAAGAATATTCTTCAATGACGATTACATCCATTAAACATTGATTTTGGCGGATTTCTTCCGGGTCAATTTTTGGCAAATTCCAAAGGGGGTACCATCACAGATTTTGAGCGATTTTCCAGAAGGGGGTACCATCACAGGTTGAGGCTGTTCTCCACCACCAATAATGAAATCTATTGATCCTATTCTCCATGGATGATAAGTCCATTAAGCACCGATTTGGGCCAATTTGTTTTTAGATGGCATTTTCGTAATTTTTTGGGCGACGAAAAGCAATTTTCTTTTGATTTTGAAGGCTACATATCACGGATTCTGCCTGAGGCGATTCTTCAACGATGATTACGTCCATTAAGAACCGATTTGGGAGGGTTTATTCCCGGTCTATTTTTGGAAAATTCAGAAGGGTCATAATTTTTTTTGACATTTTCCCAAAATTCCATTTTCTTTCGATTCTAGAGTCTACAGATCACGGATTCAGGCCGTGGCTATTCTTCACCGATAATGAAGTTTGTTGATCCTATTCTCCAGGGATGATAAGTCCATTAAGCACCGATTTGTGCCAATTTATTTTCAGATGGCATTTTCGTAATTTTTTAGACGACGAAAGACCATTTTCTTTGGATCTTGAAGGCTACATATCACGGATTCGGCCATAGGCTATTCTTCAATGACGATTGCATTCAATAAGCACCAATTTGGACGAATTTAATCCGGGTCAATTTTTGGCAGATTCCCAAGGGGTACAGTCAAAGATTTTGGGCGATTTTCAAAAATGCCATTTTCTTTATATTCTGGAGGCTACAGATCACGGTTTCAGGCCGAAACTATTGTCCACCGAAAATGAAGTCTATTGATCCTATTGTCCACGGATGATAAGTCCATTAAGCATCGATTTGGGCCAATTTATTTACTGATGGCATTTCGTAATTTTTTGGGCAACAAAATACCATTTTCTTTGGATTTTGAAGGCTACAGATCAAGGATTCAGCCTGAGGTTATTCTTCAACGACGATTACGTCCATTAAGCAACTATTTGGGCGGATTTATTCCGGGTCAATTTTTGGCAGATTCCATAGGGGTACCATCACTGATTTTTGGTAACTTTCCCTAAATGCAATTTTCTTTCGATTCTGGAGGGTACAGATCACGGATTCAGGCCGAGCCTATTCTCCTACTATAATGAAGTCTATTGATCCTATTCTCCACAGATGGAAAATCCATTATGCACTAATTTGGGCCAATTTATTTTCGGATAGCATTTTCAAATTTTTTGAGCGATAGCCTGAGACTATTCTTCAACGACGATTACTACATTAAGCACCGATTTGGGCGGATTTATTCCGGGTCAATTTTTGGCAGATCCCAAAAGGTTACCATCACGAATATTGGGCAATTTTCCGAAAATGCCATTTTCTTTCGATTCTGGAGACTATAGATCATAGATTCAGGTCGAGGATATTCTCCACCGATAATGAAGTCTATTATCCTATTCCTCACGAATCGTATGTCCATTAAGCAGCGATTTGGGCCTATTTATTTTCGGATGACATTTTCGTA